GTTCCATCCTGGTGCCCGGCGCAGGCCGAAGACTGGGGTGCTGCGGCGTTGGGCACCAGTCAGGCCCGCGGTGCTCGGACCCTTTGCGGGGTGGCCCTGCGGGAGCATCCCGGGGCTCGGAACTGCCGGGGCGGGGGTGGTCAGGCTGCTGCTCAGCTTGCCTGGCCTTTTTTTCTTCCCAGGTTTGGAAGTTGGTAATGGCAAGTCCAATACCTGAAGGGGCTACAAGAAAGCTGGGGAGGGACTTTTCATAAGGGCAGTTAATGACAAAACAAGGGGAAATGGGTTTAAACTGAAAGAGGGGAGGTTTAGATGAGATATTAGGAAGAAGTTCTTCACTGTAAGGGTGGTCAGACACTGGAACAGGTTGCCCAAGGAAGTTGTGGGTGCTCCCTCCCTGGAGTGTTCAAGGCCAGGTTGGATGAGGCTTTGAGCAACCTGGTCTAGTGGAAGGTGTCCCTGCTGATGGCAGGGGGATTGGAACTGGATGATCTTTAAGGTCCCTTCCAACCCAAACCATTCTATGATTCTATGAAGTCTCCTTTGTAACTCCTCTGCAGAACTTTACCAGTCAGATCGTGTGATGTTGTCTGTACCGTGTAGTCTCCTGTGACAATCTACCCCTTTCTCCCCTTTCCTCCCATTGGCTCTGCGTGTCAGGAGGTTGCACAGCCTCATTACAGACCTGCAGAGCTGTGTCTCTAAAGTCTATCTGAGAACCTGCCACCCACACTATCTATATTTCGAAGAGGTATCTCAGCGTAGTTCTGTTCTGGTCCTATGAGCTGAGTCCCCTTAACAGCTGGGGACACATTTGTTATGTTCCTAGAGTGCATCTTCCAGTTTAGTTTTACCCAAAAAATTGGGTTTGTGCACTCCAAGACTGCTCCATGATGCTGCTAGAGCATGGTAGATAGGTACTGTCAGGAGACTTGCTTCAAAAAATGATATCACAATGTGATCTAGAATGTTAACAGTAGACTTGGCCTTTGTGGATCACCTTAAAATAGGATAATTTGTACAATTTTTCCTTCTGTAAATGATCCAGTGGGAATTCTTTGTTTTGGCAGCACACATAACTTGTGAAATTACGTTTAGCATTTGTCTGAATGTGCAGTAGCATTGCAGCATTCATGTAAATCTAGTTTTACTTATAGGATAGCACACTGAATCTTTGGTTTTGAGCTTACCAGGATTTATAGTTATTAATTCCAAGTGGCTCATTCTATTTTGTATATTCTACTGTTTCTTACCTGACTGCACTAACCCTTCAGTCAGCCACTGCTGCGTGTCGTGGCCACTGACTTAACTGCAAAGGACTGTTGTGGTGTCATGGTGACGTTTTGGTTAAGAAGCTGTTGTGGGAGGGTGTGTCCCTTAGCTTGTTTAATTGCAGTGGTAACTTCCAGGAGAAGGGTGTCATCCATGGCTGCTGTCCCCAGGTTAAACTTGTGTGGTCTGGTGTAAACAAAGATGAAGATGCAATCTCACATCTGTCGTGATTTATAAAAATTGACCCAACATTAATCTAGGAGATTTTAAGATTTGAATATTTTCTCATGTATTAATAAAGATTAAACCTGTTTTTGTTGCTAGTGTGTTACATGCAACTCAGCTGAAGGTGAGCCTCTAGTCTGGTCATGTTCCCAGATTATTTTGCTGTCCTAGCTGTAGGTTTGATCTCTGATCTCGGGTAAGATAGGAGAGTCCTTCAGTGTATCTCAGCTGACAAACACGTGAAGTCCCAGCTATCCTTCCTTTCTCCAGGAAGAGAATAGCTGACACTTAAAAACTTGTAACCTGTGTGCAGCAACAGCTGACTTGCAGAAATGGGATTTAAGATGGAGCAGATGAGCTGTGAAGCAAGGATCTGTGCTCTGAACGTGGTGGGTTTGTGTCACAGGTACAGAGGGGGGCAAGCAGCTGTTACACAGAGTGACATCTTCTGCTCTAACAGTTTTGGAAGTTCTAGTTTTTGTTGAACATCACTTTATTGGTGGTGCTGAGTTCAAATAATGCTCCTGAAGGAGTACTACAGTTGGCAGTGATTCTGTTTTGGACCTGTGTATCATTTGGAAGTGGCTTTGGTTTTTCTGGATGGATACAACTGCTTCTCTTTGGCTAGGGCATTGTATTATAAAGGAAGTGCTGTGAGACTAACAGGGTCTGGAAGGTTTTTAGTTAGATTTCTGGAACCTTAACTTGTATATGCTGGCTTTGCAAGACTGACTGCTCTCTTTCCCATGACTCCAACATGCTGGAGTTTTTTCTTCAGAACTAGAGTATGTCTACAATGAGTCAAATCTTTCTTTTTTTATTTTCTGCTTACAGATGATATAATTAAACTGAACAAGAAAGAAGAGAGAAAACAGTATTCCCCTAAAATGAAAAGAGGGCTTCAGCAGAATCGAACTCGACAGTTCAGGACACAAGGCTCCAAGTGGGGAATCCAGCAGCAGAAAGGTGTGTGTGCCAAATGTAATGTGGGTTGCACCATGGTTTTAATTGAGCTGAAATGTAACCCAGTGAGAATGGATGGATTGACATGGTCAGTTCAGGTGTCTTTCAGACAGTGTCATATGCAGTGATTATAACTCATTGTGGTCTATTTATGTTCCGTTTTGGTTCTGTGTGAGAACAATGACATGTTTGGCCAACGTGGAGCTCAGGTGCTTGATGGAAGCAAGGAAGGATTTGCTTCCTTTCTGATTTCTTGAATTTATTTTAATTTTGGAAATTGTGTTGACTTTGTCCTTTCTTAGAGATGGATAGAAAGAGTGCTTGTGCCAAAGCCTGTGTATTAGGCAACGTGGAGGCCTTGCCAGAGCTTTGTGCAAAAGAGCCAGCGTATTTGTATTCTCCAGGTAGAACTCTCCTGGGAGGCCTCCCCAAATGAGCTGTTACTGCAGACTGTGGTGCTGCCTCTGGGGTGTACAAATGGACAGAGCAGAGAGTCTGAATCGGCTTTTCTTGTCAAGAACTTGGGATGCAACAGAAGCACCACGTCAGCCTTCCTAAGCCAGTGTTTTCACGGTGGAATACAAAAGTGGGAAAAAGAATCATATAAGCAGGGAGTGAAGAGAGGAGAAGTGCACAGTAACAGTTGTACTGTCGATTCCCTAAGTGACTCTCAGGGGTTATAAACAGGAGTCGTGTTCTAAAATGCTTCTCAGGTTTTAGTCCAGCACGTGGCCAGAACCTGCTTGAAGCACAGACTGGTTTTGCTTACGTTTAATTTTGAAAAGAACCTTTTTAGCATTGGATTATCAAAATATGGGAAAATACTGTCTAATGGGAAATCTTACCACCTCAATCCAAGCTGCTGAAGTGTTTAAGTTCATACACGAGGTTTCTTGTTTAGCAGCATTCATTTAAAACAAAGACATCTGCCTGCTGTATTCACAGGGATCCCTGTTCTATCTTCGTTGTTGCTGTAATATTTGTTGTAGCAGCAGCTCGTAGTTAGCTTCTTAGACACAAGTGTCTTTGAGGGTTGGTGGAACCTTAGACACAAGTGTCTTTGGGGGTTGGTGGAATGTCCTGTTGCTCAGGGCTCAGAGGAGTTTCACTTTTTATATGGACCAACGTAGCAGTGTTACTTAATTTGCACATCTGTAGTAAATTGGTGACAGTGCAGGAAAATGTTTTACATCAGTCAGCCCAAGTGTAGGAATATTTACATACGTGAAAGAGTAAGTGAATTTAAGTTGTAGGTTACCAAACATGTAGGCTTCTATTTCTGACTGCAGTTATCAAATGCAATTGTTTATGATCTAAAGGGCATAAAAGAAGCAAGCATTGCAATGTAGAATTCTAGGAGGAACTTGAGCTACAAGTATAAAACTCTAAATACAACTGTCTTGGCGGTTCCTGTTCTCTTGGAACCTTCCCTCCTTGCCTGCCCCTGTTCCAGGAAAAAGCAAACTTTTTTTTTTCCCCAACATTGCCAGATTCATGACATGTTGAAACGTTGTAAGTAGCTTTAACTGCTCCCTCCTGTACAGCTCCATACAATTTCTCCTGTTGAAAGCAAACCTCTTTTTTGAGGAGAAGGTATCACTAAATAGTTCTTCTGGGCATTCTATTTGTTAGTAGCTTATGGCCAATAGATTTGTTGCTGCTCTGCTGCCATTGAAGTTACTCTGATAAGTAGCAAATCCTCTGTTGTTTGTGGACAGCTACAGAAACCGCAAATGATCAACAGCATTCAGTTCTTGTGGTTTTAGAAGTGGCTACCAAACTCTCTGGAAAGAAGTGAGGAACTTGAGCTGGACTCTTTTCAGCTTTTGTGGGGAGAAACACAGAGAAGAACATTGTTTGTTTGAATAAAAGTTGTCCTTGGTGATACAGAGAATGCAACTGCACAGAATCCTGGGCAGCCTGAGCTAGCTTTGAGGTTGCCATTTGCTTGAGCAGAGGTTAGTCCAGAGAGCTTGTGAGGTCCCTTTCAGCCTAAGTAACCCTGTTTCTCAGCTTTTCTGTTTGAAAAGAAGAGCATTTGCTAACCATCCAGAAAATGTGGGTGCACAGCAGATTCTCCATGGCAAATTTATCTAAGCTGGGTTCTGATCAATAACTTACCTTATGTGATGGTTCCTGTCTCAAGAAGAGCACAGATCTTTTTTACTGATGCTGTGAAGTCAGGTAAGTCAAAGCTAGATGTGTCCGTTGCTGTAGAGCTGACTCCTTAGTCTTAAATTTATCTCAGTCTGAGGTTCTAAAGAGGGTGATACTTGATGATAAAACTGAAGCATGGTCTGTATTCATATCACGAAGCTCAATGGCTCCAGACAGGGTTAACCAGACCCTTGTAACTGGAGATTTCAGGTGTTTATACTACAGACCTCAGACTTACAAGCCTTTTATATTCAAAGCCTGCTTTCAATTCCCAGTTTCATGCAGACTGCCCTGCAGACTTTAATTGAGAACACTTTAAATGTGATGTAATTCATATGCTGTTTAATATTGTGGGGCAATTGCTGTATTCTTTTTTTCTTAAGTCATGTCTTGGAAATCACTGATCTAAATAAATAAGCTTTGAAGTTGATGGGTTTGTTTTTTTTTTCTTTTCTGTAAATTAAACTGGTAATTTAAAGTTTGATGAATGGGTGGGGAGCTGGGTTTTTTGTTGTTGTTTGGTTTGGTTTTATTCAGCACTTGATGAAGTTCCATTTTGGTAGTTTTCTATGCCGGAATGACTCTTAAGTTGTCCCTGTAGACATGTCAAATAACAAATTTTCAACAGAAATTAATGTGATGAACTAGAGCAAAACTCTGATCTACGTGAGAAGCTGATTATTCTTGTGCAAGGGCTTGGGCCAGACCTACTAAAATAACTGGATGACCAGATTGTCTTCAAGTGTAGTAAGAGCTTCTACTCTGAGCCTTGAAGTATGCAACCAAATAACTTGTATTGCCTGCATAGCATGTTAAAGCTTTTTCTTCCAATAAGAACTGTTGAACTCTTGGTGCTTGTTGCAGGTTACGGTAAAAATCGTCTGGGACGCAGAAAGAAGGTGGCAGGGAAGAAGCGTTCTTACGGAGTTATAACCGGCTTGGCAGCCAAGAAGGCAGCGGGCTCACGCAAGGGAATCAGTCCTCTGAACAGACAGCCCCTTAGTGATAAGGTAATTAATGCAATTCTAGTGGGTCGTGTGAGAACAGATCAAAAAAAAAAGAAACACGGTGACTTCAGAACACTGCTCCTGAAATATAAAATGGAGACATCTGGTACAACCTTCTGTTAAAGTTTGGGTGGGTGAGCCGAGTTCTTGTTTGTTCTGAGGGGGGTGGTTAATGACTAGGTTTGAAAGGGGCTTTTTAGCACTTAATTGGGCTGCAAGTCATGAAAGTTGAAGTACAGGAGAGATCTCTGTGCAAATATAGAATCATAGAATCATAGAATGGTTTGGGTTGGAAGGGACCTTAAAGATCATCCAGTTCCAATCCCCCTGCCATCAGCAGGGACACCTTCCACTAGACCAAGTTGCTCAAAGCCTCATCCAGCCTGGCCTTAAACACTCCAGGGAGTGGGCATCCACAGCTTCTCTGGGCAACCTGTTCCAGTGTCTGACCACCCTCACAGTGAAAAACTTCTTCCTAATATCTAATCTAAACCTGCCCTCTTTCAGTTTAAACCCATTTCCCCTTGTCTTGTCATTAGTTGCCCTTATGAAAAGTCCCTCCCCAGCTTTCTTGTAGCCCCTTCAGGTACTGGAAGGCCGCTATAAGATCTCCCCGGAGCCTTCTCTTCTCCAGGCTGAACAGCCCCAACTCTTTCAGTCTGTCCTCACAGGAGAGGTGCTCCAGCCCTTGGTAGTTGATGTATTCTTACAAGAAAAGCTCGCTCATCAGGATTTCTTGTCTTTGCATTGCTTTGTTACAAGCCAGTGATTCAGCTGACCTGCAGGTGTTAAGTGTGTGCCTGTTACAAAAATGGAACCTTTTGCAAAATACTTGACTCCTTCAGTCGGCTCCCTTCCCTCTTCTGCACTCCAGTGCACTGCTGCCTGCTCAGTCTCATGCAGTGTTGTAGAATGGGCGTTGCTTTTGGATTTGTGAAGAAGAAGAATTTCAAAGACATGTGGAACATGTGTTTTGTCAGTTTAGGGAGACAGAGTAATCAAAAAGTAACTGCTAAGTTCTGCTATTTTTTTTTCCTGGTAATGGAGAGAATATAAAATTAATGAAAGTGTAGAAGATACTTTCAAATTATACTAGACTGTGAAAGGTCAGCAAAGCCAAATGTATTCTAGATGCAATTTGTAAAAGGAAATTGAAGGAAAAGTGTTTGTGTGTATACAGTATACATATGCTCTCTATATATTGTTTTTTTAAGAATGCACAGCGGAATTATCCAGTTTTGAAAAAGAAAACAAACCTGCAGAGACAATCTGAAACGCAGAGAAAACAAGCTCCAGCCCTCAGGAGGCCTACCCCACTAAACAGAAGGTAAAATGCCAGGTCTGCTTTCTGACTCTTCTTGACAACTTCCCATAGTGGGTCATGTTTGACAGGACTGAGTCCAAGAGAAGACAGTAGGTACTGGCTGTATTAATACAGTCAAGACTATCATGTGTATGAAAATTAACAAACCTGGAAGCTGAGCATGGGATAAACGTGGTCTCGATACAAAGCCAGATATTTATTACTGTGTAGAACACTCAGGAAGTATCTCTGTTTGTGAGCACCTGGTATTCTGCCTTCATTAAAATCATAGGCAACCTCCATGGAAATGGCCAGCATGGATTTCAGTAGCTTTGACAGCCAGGGTCTAGTGAACTTTCTAAATAAACTGCCTTTGTGGAAGCTGGTGCCATCTTCAGTTTCATAGAAGCTATTGCACATTGTTTGTGCTGGAATTAGCATGTCTGTTACAAACTGTGTCTTAACTGATCTCCTTGATGAAAACTTCCACTATGTGACTGTTGTGGAAACTCTGAACAAACTTTCTTTATACATATCAAGAGTGCTTTTGGTTTTTTTTTAATCTAATCAGCAGTGTTTAAAGTGCTGGAGGATACTGAGCAAAGTAAAAAGCAGAATTAATAATCATACTGTCCTGTGATGTAGGAGTGCCAGGCTTCTCTGTAACAGAAGTGATTTATTTCTCCCTTTATGAGTAAAGTGTTTTGTTCCTAGTAGATGAGAACCTTATTGCAACTGAAGCATTCAGCCTCAGAGGCAGCATTGCAGATGTCCTTAGGGATGTATTGGCACTTCCCCGACTTTCATAGGGGTCTCTCTAAGATGTTATCTGTGGAGCCTTTGATAACTCTATTTTAATAAATATTACAGGAATAACATGCCATCGACTTTTTCCAGAATTGGAAACAAACTAAATCAGCAGAAAGACACTCGTCAAGCAACTTTCCTGTTTAGAAGGGGCCTGAAGGTAATAAAAATTGCTGAAAACAGAAACAAAATTAGGGCAGCTAACCTATAACCCTGATATTAATGAACCAACTTCAGATATCAGATCTGAGTAGAAACCTCACAGATTTCTAGGGAAATGTACTTGTCCTCTTCAGTTACCCACTGAGTCACTTCCTATTCCACTGTAGCTGGACTGTTCCCAGGGGCATGGAACTTGTCAGTATGTTTGGTAGTTGCAAGCTATTTGTTTTTCCTTTTAAAAGTAAATGTTAGAAAGCACTGTGTGGCTTTCAAAAGTTGCCTTTGAGTGAAGGATAGAGCAGAAACATGTTTTAGAAACTGATTATGGTTTTTTGGGAGTGATTTTTTTAGTTACTCTGGGGTTATTTGTTTTAGTTAAGTTATCACTTTAGTTACTCAAGGTTTTTTTAGTTATTATGAGTAAAATCAAGAGAATAGAGAGTGTGCGGTGCATGGTATTGGTGGTCTCAGTTTTCATCTGTGCCCTCATTCTACATCTGACATAATTGTCGCTGTAGGTAGCTGCTCTTCCATCCACATGGATTGCACAATTACAGGCAGGATCAGGAGGAAGAAAAACATAAAGTCCTTTAAAACAGCCGTGGGACTTAGTGGCATACTGGATACTATGTATGTTAACATCGATCAGATTAGGAATTAGCCAGGTTTTTCTTGCTGGCCTGGTAACATTTTGGTGTGTCTTGGTAAAGTGTGTGTCTGCTGACGTAGTCCTCAAAAATGTTTCTGTCTCTTTATTGATTAAGTTACTGTCATTGACAACTTTGTTTAAATAATTTTGTGTTCTTTAAGTAATTTCTTTCCTATGTCTTACAAAGGTAATAGGGTAGTTATCTTTGAAGTCCTTCTGAAAGTACAACTCTGTGCAGCTTTAAACTTCTGGTTTTGAGCTGTTGTATTTCCAGCTACTATAGTGGCAATTGAAACAATTGATGTTTTCAGGTGCAGGCCCAAGTGCAGCCAACAGATCATCTCGATAATCAGACAGTAAAGAGAACTCGTCAGTAAGTATTTAATGTAGAAAACTGCAGTTTGGTTATGCATATGATTCTCATTTTGGTTCTGGCTTCCTGGCTATGATAATTGGATGGGGTTTTTTTTTCCCTATAGGCATATCAACTGAGTGACAGTGATCCTCCCTCTATTCTCAATTATTTCCTAAATTACCCTCTCATTTAACCAGGAGGAGTTTGTTTGCATAAGACACTTGCAGGAATGAGGGGGTAGGTGGTAGCTTCAGAGGATCAAACTAATCTCTGCTACTCATGAATACTGCATAGACTGGAAGAAAAATTAAAGTGTCAGTGTTCTCCTGAGGTCTTGATGTAATTTCCATTTTATTTAATATACATATAAGCCTATGAAGCAGCTTGAAAATAAGCAAGGCAGGTCACAAGGTAGACACTTGGTTCTCCCCCCATGTATTCTTCCCATATCATTCTGTGCCTCCTAGGCTCTTTGCAACTTGTTTGTGGGTAACACAACAGGCTGAGTAAGCAGTGTATGCTGCAGTCCTGCAGTCTGTCAGTCTGTCACCTCTTTGATTTGCTCTGAGGACCATTTTGGCCCCATCTGTGGCAAGGAAACTGAACGTTTTTTAAAAAATGAACATTTTGGTCGCTGCTGTAGTTCTGGTACACCTTGCCAGTGTGTGATCCAGCGCTCACCTGATTAGGTTTAGCTAATATAAAAGATACAAGAATAAATAGCCAAGCTTCTTGTAGATTGTTTGACAGCGTGTGGTCTTCTAACTGGCCTGGATTCTGAAACCTTGTACATTCTTTGCTAGCCAGTGTTTTGGACATACTTTTAAAGGTAACCTGACTGAAATTTCTGCAACATGTTTGTAAGTGATTTCTGTGTTTTAAAACTAGATGGCGAACTTCCACCACAAGTGGAGGGATTCTGACCGTGTCCATTGATAACCCTGGAGCAATCATAACCCCAATGTGAGTTTTCAGAAAAAAGTTCTGAAATGTTCTTAGCTGAAATTGCTATTCTGAGCCATTTAGCAAGTTCTTTGCAGATAGTATTTCAGAAGACCTCCAAGTCACAGCTTCTTGGGAAGACTTTTAATCTGTCCCCTTTCTGAGTCTGAGCTATGTTTGAATAATGTCACAGCTGGATTTCCCAAGGCATCTCCCAGTTAGGACCTTGATGTAGTGTATGGAGTTGAAGAAGAGTGGTGGGCTGGTAGATTTTCAGCTTGTCTGCCTCTTCCAAATCAGACCGTATCGCAGCTATTTTCCTCATCTGAATGAAAATGCATGAGCAGCTAGTTGGTAAATGATGGTAATAGTTCCTCCCTGATTCATAAAGATACTGCTAGAGATGTGCTTAGAGAAAGCATTGCTGTATTTGTCTTTGGGAAGTTGATGGTACTGTTGTAAAAATGAGATGTTTTATTTTAAAAATCTGTTGAGTTGCTTTTTTCATTAGTAGCATTTTATCTGTAAGGAAGACTACCAGTTTTTATTTTCTGTATTTATGGGAATAATTAACCACAAATTCTGTGTTTGTCAATAGGATTGAGAAGTAAAAGATAAGATAGCTTCCTATCAGGACACTTGCTGTCTGATAACCCTTTTATAGTTCTGCCTGACTTTTACCTTCTTGGGTTCGTGCCCTCCAGCTATTCAGCCAGCCTGATCAAATGGCTTGATGAAAAATTCATACCTCTAAGGCTTTATAGCATAAAACACGTATTCACCGGGTCCTTTGTAACCTTCTTATTTCTCAGTTCCCAGAAATTGCGATTAACTCGTACTGCTGTGCCACCATTTCTGATGAAGAGGGACCAATCTGAAGAAAAGAAGATTCCCAAAGGGGTTCCATTGCAGTTTGATATTAATAGTGTTGGAAAACAGGTAAAAGCAGTTTCTTTCCTTGACTTTGGAAGTAGTTTCCAGATAGATAAAAATCAGTGAGCCAAGCACTTTCGCCCCTAGACTTACCAGTGGCAGAAAAAGGGAACTAGTGACTACTTCTTGTTTCCACTTTCAGTTCTTCCACTAACTTGCTGTGTAACTTCAAGCAAGTAACTACACTCACTGTTCCTGTTCCTCTAGTTCATGTCTTGCATGCCCACGTGCTTTAAAAGGGATTGAAAATGTTGAATATTTCTAAAAGCCTTCTGGTGTTCCCGCTGTGCTTGAATCAGCAACTGTGTGTAATTCAGGGATGAGCTGCTTTTAGTTGTGTCACCTGCATGGAACTCTGACAGATGAATTTCTAAGGCTAATTTTGCTATGTATCTAGGGGGGGAAAAAATAAAGTCAAATATAATGACTTACAGGCTTGAAAGATGAGCAATTTTTCACAAGTTTCATGAAGACAGGTGATGTGGTGCAGGAATCTTAGTGCTGTCATTGGAAGAATTCTTACAGGGTGACAGAGTTAGATGCTGTTCTTGTAATCAGCTCCTTACTGACGGCTGTAGAAAACTACATGGGATCAGTGCGTCAATCTGGATTTGTTCCTTCCATGAATAAGCAGTATGTCAAAAATAGTCTACTGCTATATTGTAATATTTATTGAACTTTTGGACTTCAGTCTACTGCTTTAACTGGACGGACTGGAAAGCAGCTTGCATTAACATGGTTCAAATTTGTTGGAAGTTGTATAGAATCTGTGTGGGGAAAGGAGTGTATTGAAAGCTCCCTTTTTCTGCCTGTCCTCAGTTTAGCTTAGGATATTTCTGATATTGTGTACGATGTGTTCCTGATGAACTCTGATAAATGCTGTTGATGTATAGTCCAATCTGATTTTTTAATTGATGTGGGAAATTATGAAATAAAATTAAACTTCTTTTTTAAATCTAAGGTAATTAAGAAGTCAAGTGATGATACAGAATGAGGAAAAGATTATTCTTGTTGCCTTTATTTTGATTAAATTAACCTAACATCTTTTACATCTGTAGTGAAATGACTTTTATTTTTCAGACGGGGATGACGTTGAATGAACGTTTTGGGATCCTGAAGGAACAAAGAACAGCGCTGTCTCAGAACAAAGGAAGCCGTTTTGTAACAGTGGGCTAACCTGACGGATGAACTTGAGCACTGATCCCACCTACCTGAGAAACTGAGATAAAAACGGGCAGAAGAATACAGCATACGTCACTGAAATTCTCCAGACTTCTTGCTAAGACGGTGGCAGAGCTATCTATCTTTATTACTTTCCCTTTGAATGGTAAAAGACACAGGATGCCCTGAGGTGGAGAAAGTGGGGCAACTGATCCACTGGAGTGACACCATCACGTGGTTGGCAAAGATTCTCTTGCCCAGCTGATGACAAACAGTGATTTTGGTTCATCTTGCAGCCAAAACACAAACAGGAATTTTAAAAGTTTGGGTTTTGTTTTTTGGATATTTTTTTTTTCTGTCTAGGAGTGCTCAGTATCTATTCTCTGACTCCTCTGTTATGGTAAAGATTATGTAAGTGTTTCATTACAAACCCCTTTTTTAGGGTTTTTAGGGACTGCCTATTAATTTTCTTTTGGGCTGCAGTTTGGCACAGAGCCTCAGTCCACGGATACTTTGGTAGTGATGTAGCGGCATTTTTCATGGGAGCATTGGTTGTACTTCTTTGTGCTTTCGCAGTTCAGTTTTTTTCCTTTCTTGAAAACTTCAGTGTTTTGCATCCTCACTTTCACAAATAAAGCTGTTAGCTGAGACCCAAAATATGTAATTGAGATGAAGACTATTCTACTCTTATATACTTCAAAGTGGTCCAGGTCATGTTGGAGTACTACACAGGCAGTATCAAAGTAATTTGTATTACAAATAACTCAAGTTCTTCATCCTCCTCTGTAAGTGGAGTATCTGTCCTGTTTTTTTTTTTTCTTAAACTTTTGCTTTCTGTTTCTTTTTGTAAGTTTTTTCACAAACTTAATGCAATAACTTCACATTTTTTAATAGTTTCATAGGAATAAATACAAATTCACAAAGAAGTCAGTGGTATGGTAGAGTTCCTTACCCTCCCAGACATAGGATTGTCACTTGCATTCTTTGCCCCAGAGGGTTTTCTCTGGCTCTTACAAATAGCTGGAGGCAAGCAATCTAATGGCACTTGTTTGTGTATACCAAAGAGAGGACAGATGTGTAGCTGATCAGAAGTGGTTCAGGCATCTTGGAATTGGCTGAAACTGGAGGAAAGCCCTGTTTGCCAGCATGTGTAAGGCATTATGCAGGAGCATCTTGTCACCTCCTTTAAGCCTAGCATGCATCAGAATCTGCAGGACGGTAACAACTGGGGCATCCTCAGTGTGAACTTACATGATCCGTAAAAACGAGGCATCCATTCTGGATTGTTTCCAGAACAGGAATAGGTGAACTTAACACTCTTCTATAGCAAAGAGATTTGGGTACAGTCAGGTAAAAGAATGATTGCCTTGCTGCATCCAGAAATGTTTATGGTGTTTGAAGTGGGTTTAATTCCTTTTATTGTTCTTGAAGAATTTACATTTGACTTCTTACAGAGCTGGTTTCCTTGCATTTTTATCTCAAATTCCAAGTTAACTAGCATTCACAGGGAACTTCAAGGTTGAAGAGCATTTGACAGTAGACAGGCTTTTGTTTGTATAGCAGTTTTAAAGTCAGGGTGCATCCTTGATGCTATGTAGTACTTAAACCCTTATTTTTAATGTTGAGAAATATACCTTAGCAGATACAAACTAAACATAATGGTGTTAAGGGTTTTGTTTTCCTTAATTACTAGTAGGAAATTGTTTTTGGAAAAAAAGTCCCACTGTTAGAATTTGAGTAGATAAAGTGTTGTCAGTCATCCTGTTTCAGTGTATACATTTTCCATGTGCCAGGATGCAACAAAAAATTCTTTTGCATCAACATAGATGCAAAACATTGATGCAATGCATCAAAAAAATGCTAGTTTGTATTTAATGAGAAGATGCTTTACACTGTACCTTTCGGTATTTTTTGGAGAAGTTATTACATTTGATCTATTCTGAAGCTGTTAATTTTTTTTTTTTTTTTTTAATAAAAAGTTACAGGTTTCATACTGTCTTGTTCCTGTTATAACCACCTGGGCAATACATTGGTTATGTGAATTTTCTGAGATCCTTCAAGGAGTTCTTAATGATGAAAATGTTATTAAATATTCTGAAGGATATACCAAAGAGCAGCCTAACTTAAAGAGAGCTTGCATTCGTCGCCCAGTTTAATATCCTGAATATTAATCCCTCCTTGGAGTGGCACTGTATAAGCTTGCTCGCATTTAAATACGGCACCTATTAATGCATTTTTCAGTAGCACCGTCTAATTTAGTGGTTTGATGTGACTGTAATACCAGAGCCCTTAATCTGTCAGCCCAAGCACTGGTTTTCACTTTGCTGTGACATGTCTCACTAGCGAGAAGTCGCTGCGGTCTCTCAACCTCTTGTTACAGGATCAGCATCACCACCTGATAAACGACCGCGCTGGTGTTTTGCAGTGCCATGCTGGAAGTGCAGGGGAAAAACTACTGCCTGTAACTATATTTTGAGAAGGTGTTGAGGAGGGCAAGTGCCTTGGCAACCTGTCTACAGCCCCCTTCTTCGTTAGCAGCTCAGGGGTTGCTGGCTTCAGGCAGCCTTTGGACACGCAACGGTTCCAGCGTGAGCAGCGGATGGGTGCTGTCCCAGAGCAAGGAGGGTGTTTGTCTGGACGCTGCAAAGAATGTGACCTTGTAAGGATTGATGACATCAAGGAAAAGAAAAAAACCATGAAGCAGGTGGCACTTCCCCCGCCTGGTTCAGAGATGGGTGTTTGCTGCTGGAATGGGGCTGAGGAGCAGCCTTTGAGCCGTCCCACTAGAACCAGAACTCGTCAGCCATGTTCAAGGGGAGGGGAACACCCTCACACGCCCAATTACCTCAGGGGAGTGGAAAAAACAAACCCAAAAAGCGGATGTTTCGGGTGATTTTAACGAGGCGCTTTGCGCGCTCCCGCTACCCTCAGGCTGCGCGCGCTGTCAGGGCTGGCGCACGCGCTCTCCCTGCCGCTCCCCCC